CTCTCTGACGTAGTGAACGAACGAACGAAACAAACGTATGAATGATATGTAGAAAACATGTTAAACACTATTAACGGACTAACTATGCGTTCAGTAAACTATGGATGTCTGTGAGAGAGGATTGCATTCGTGTTGTGTCTCGTATTTACAACTATTTTTAAATGTGTTTTGTATACAGTATTCATTTGATTTACTTATAATTTTATCATCAATTAACTAAACATTGGTTTAAAGTTTTGACTCTAAAATGTAAGTATTGTAATTTTATTTATTAACTCGAAAAAAGTTTTTCAAACTTTTTCTAACTTTATATACAGTAATACAGTAAAACTTTTTTGACAATACTGTACATTATTTTATTCTTAAACCTTTTCCATATATAAATAACTAATTGTATTGTAATGTTATAATTGTTATTATAAGATTTTAATACAAGTCATTTGCATGGTTATTTAATTCTGTATAATTATATTTAAAATGTATTATTATATTCAAATTTTCATAATTTATAACTTGTTTATAGTATATACAGCAAGTGATGTCAGAATATCGTGTATGTTATGTTTGTGGCGGCAATAAAAGGGATAACCCGGCACTTAGACTTGGTACTGTAAATACAAATAGCATATTTATTACAATATTTCATTTAATTATTTATATTTATTTAATATTTGGATAAATAGGCGAGAATTATGTGCGAAAAGGGAGCGGTGTCTACACGTGTGAAAAGGACAGGCAATGGTTTTATAAAAATGCTAATTTAAGGGTAAATTCTGATATATTAATTTTTAATATAAAACTATCTATTAATTTATACATTATATTATATTTTATGAAAATAATAGAAAGTTTGTCCAAAAGGGGAAATGGATGTAAACGCTCCGGAAAATTGTGATATAAGTGTGTGCCCGGCCTGTAAGCTACACAAGTGTTACAGAATAGGATTGAAACTCGTAAGCTAGGTCAGTTTGATTGAGACTATAAATAATTAGCTTATATTGTATCATACATAGAAATCACAAAACATCGCCAGTCATACTACTAATGGCTATCATTTGCCAGGATTTCAATCAATACAATGGGCAAATTGCAGTGTTAGCAATGACCAGGGTCAGCAATCAGCCATAACTATGCTAACTATTAATGGAGACCCGACTCATCCATACATTCAGCCCAATAATCCAGTTGCAAATAATGACTACAATTTTGCCGTAAATTCAAACTTAACACCGACTGTGGGTCCAAACAACCAGATACTACAACCAGTTGCCGGTCCCTCGACTACAGTTCCTTCATATACCACTATTTTGGGCTCATATCCAGAAAGTGCTAATACAGAAAATGATTTATCAGCGGAACTGTTAGATATGACGGACATCGAGATGATATCTACTGACGAGATGGGAGACAAAGGGATAGAGAATCTGAATCCCAATCAAGACTTAACTCAACAATCACCGCAAACATCAGTTCATAATACTATGGCAGTTGATCAGTCGGCGACCTCTGGATCCACTCAAACCATTGCACACAATAATACAATTGCGAGACAAACAGACACTTCCATTGATGACACCATCGATGATATGATATTTACATTTGCAAACAATATTAACCTCGGATTGGTTTCCA